ACCCACCTTGGCCTCCCAGAGTATGAGGATTACAGGTGTGAGCCACCATGCCCAGACATGAGAGGTTTTTAAATTAATATACTTAAAATGTTCAGAGAGAAAAGGAATAGAACCTATTAGCAAGAACAGAACATTATGGAAAAAGAACGGGTGAATTTTCCGAAGCACCAGATGAAAATTCTAACAATGAAAAATATTAATCTCCAAGGACAGGGTCCAGTAAGAAGCACTGAGGGCAGAGTGAAGGCCTGGCAGGTGCCTGTCACTCTGGGCAGGGGGAGGCCGTGCTTCTCACAGTGCAGGAAGTAACAAAGACAGGCCTCTGAAGGCATGGTCTCTGCCAGGAGTCTGAGGGGATGTCATGGGGTGAGCAGACAGGACAGTGATTGCCTATCCATGCCCTGATGGGGTGGAGGGAGCCAAGCAGGTTGGGCTCCCGTCTCTCCTCAGTCACTGGCCTCCCAGGGTGCCCCTGCCTGTGGTTGTGGTGAGAACACCTGGCAGGGACTAAACTCCCCTCACTGTTAACAGCCACAGGCCCCTGTAAACCACCATTGGCACACAACCCATGAGACAATTTTAGAACACATTTTTCTAAAGTAAATCCTGGCATTACTGTTGTCTTGCCTGAGGCTCGACTATTTTAAATTAGGACAGTGAGGATGACTGGCCCACAAACGGAGGTCAGTGCCAGTGTGCAGAAGGTATTGAGTGGAATAGAAGGGGACCCTCAGGCAGGCGGTTGCCTGCTATGTGGTCTGGAAATGATGCTTCTGGGGGGTTTCTTCAGTATCAACCCCAAAGAGTAAGAGCCGTCTGGACTACCTTCAAAACCTTCTACCCCATTATAATCAGGAGTTTGAAAAAACACTACTTTCTCAAGTTACCTAGAAGTTTACATGCTTTGGGGTTTACCAACTATGAGGTCTTCCTGGAGGGTCCAAGGTGGGCAGCTCTTGGCCCAGCCCTTGCCAGAAATGAGATCACAGGCAGAAAGAAGAAATCACAGGAAGGAAAAAAATGCCACCCAAGGCTCAGCAGTCAGCTAAGAGTTGATTTCGTGTTCCAAGTACTACAGAAAACATGAGTGCTTTTTATTTATTTATTAATTGAGACTGAGTGGTGCCCTCACTAGAGTGGCCTAGGGTCATAACTCATAGCAACCTCCAGCTCGTGGGCTCTCAAGCAATCCTCCTGCCAGTT